CAGCCATGCACAGCTATACACAGCTATACAGGGCTATATACAGCTATACAGGACTATACACAGCTATAAAGGGCTATACACAGCTATACCGAGCTATACACAGCTATACACGGCTATACACAGCTATACAGCCATATACACAGCTATACAGCCATATACACAGCTATACACGGCTATACATATAGCTATACAGGGCTACACACAGCTCTAAAAGGCTATACACAGCTATGCCGAGGTATACATGGCTATACACAGCTATACACGGCAATACACAGCCATGTACAGCTATACACAGCTATACAGGGCTATATACAGCTATACATGGCTATAAACGGCTATACACAGCCATGCACAGCTATACACAGCTATACAGGGCTATATACAGCTATACAGGGCTATACACAGCTATAAAGGGTTATACACAGCTATACACGGCTATACACAGCTATACAGCCATATACACAACTATACAGGCATATACACAGCTATACAGCCAAATACACAGCTATACACGGCCATACATATAGCTATACAGGGCTACACACAGCTCTACAAGGCTATACACAGCTATACCGAGGTATACATGGCTATACACAGCTATACATGGCTATACACAACTATACATGGCTATACACAGCCATGTACAGCTATACACAGCTATACAGGACTATATACAACTATACAGGGCTATACATTGCTATACAGGGCTATATACAGCTATACACAGCTATACAGAGCTATACAGAGCTTTAGAAAGTTATACAGGGCTATACACAACTATACCGAGCTATACATGGCTATACACAGCTATACACGGCTATACACAGCTATACAGGGCGATATACAGCTATACCGAGCTATACACAGCTTTACACAGCTCTAGAGGGCTATACACAGCTATATCGAGCTATGCATGGCTATACACGGCTATACACAGCTATGTGCAGCTACGCACAGCTATACAAGGCTATCTACAGCTATACAGGACTACATACAGCTATACAGGGCTATACACAGCTTTACCGAGCTATACACAGCTTTACACAGCTTTGTAGGGCTATACACAGTTATACACAACTATCCACAGCTACACAGGGCAATACGCAGCTATGCACAGCTGTAAAGGGCTTATACAACTATACAGGGCTATACACAGTTATACCGAGCTATACACACCTATACACAGCTATACACAGCTATACGGGGCTTACACAGCTGTGCAGAGGCATACACAATTATACAGTTATACACAACTATACACAGCTATACAGGGCTCTACACAGCTGTACAGAGCTATACACAGCTATATACAGCTTTACACAGCTGTACAGGGCTATACGGGGCTATACAGGGCTATAAAGAGCTATACAGAGCTATACAGGGCTATACACAGCCATACACATCTATAATCACTAAAACTATTGCGCATTCTGAGATTGACGATCAAATCAAAGAACTAAAAACAAGATTCGACAGGGAAGGAGTTCCCTTAGAAATGATAATAGTGGACGGCTGTTGTTAGGTAAGAAATCTCTACGAACGCCTCTTTCCAGGAGCAAAAATCAGATTGGACTTGTTTTATTCAAATAGAATACCGCTTCGCAAACACAATCATACAAAAAGGATGTCTTTCGGACATACTTCCT